GGGTCGGCTCGGGAGTCGACGGCGCCACCTGGTGGTCCCGCGAGCGCAGCGCGCCGGGGCCCCAAGGCCTAGGGCAGCCCGCCCCCGCCCCACGTACATGCCCACGCGCCCGCCTTCTCGCTCTCCCCAGCAACCCCTGACGTCCCCCGGGAGCGTCAGCTCCTCCCGAGACTCCAGCGTGCCCGGCTCACCCTCCAGCATCGTGGTGAGTACCCCTGTCAGCCACCTGCACCCTCAGGCTGGGAGCGGGGAGGCCGGGGGACTGCTCGCTGCTGGGCGGCTCCACCCAGAGCCTCCCCGATGGCAGAGAGAATCCAGGAGTCCAGAGAAGTTTCCCCACACCCCCCTTCTACTGGTCTGGTGTCGTTGCACTGAAAGTGCTAGGTGGAGGTCTATCATTTTTTAAGGAACTACCTAAATCCTTAACATTAAAATTATGCAATTGTTAACATCCAAAACGGCAGCTAGTGTTCTTAGTAATGAACTGTGACTTTGTCTGGAAAGGCTTTCGGCACATCTGTCCCATTTGCACCATTTCCCTTCAGGCCAAGATGGCCAATCAGGTGCTAGGCTATAAGGACCTGGCTGCCATCCCCAAGGACAAGGCCATCCTGGACATTGAGCGGCCTGATCTCATGATCTACGAGCCTCACTTTACCTATTCCCTCCTGGAACACGTGGAGCTGCCCAGAAGCCGGGAGGTGAGAGAGGGTCCTCTTGGACAGGACTTGGGGGAAGGGTTCCCCCAGCCCCATGGGATCGTAGACAGAATCATTCTCATGCTTTGTGTCCTGGAGCCTTGGCAAAACAAGCAGGGGATCTGTGCACAGGAACCATCCAGTCAGTCAGCCGATCAACTGGCCAAGTGCTGGTGGAGAGCAGGCAGAGATGGGCTCAAGGCTGGAGTGCAGGTTGGCTGTAGAGCAGGGGAGGCCACATTTCAAGGCAGCAGCACAGAGAGGGGTTGTGTAGGAAAAGGGTGGGAATGGGCAGAGAGCAAATTTTGGGGAAAGAGCTCAGAAGCCTGAACTTAGCAGCCAGAAGTCCTAGCTGAGGGAACTGTGTGATGTTGTGGCCTCGGTTTCCTTTCCTATAAAGTGGAGGTGATACCTCTGCTAGCCTGTCCCATAAAGTAGTTGGGATGCATGAGGTTATGCATAGGCAGGTGCTCTGTCAACTGTATTCAAGAACAGCAGAGTGTCATGGCTGGGCAGTGACATGGAGCTAGACTGTGGGACCCTAAATACCCAGTCAAGTAGCCTGGCCTTCATGCCTGGATGCATGGTGGTATTGTCCCTGCCAGCCGTCATTCAGCTGTTAGGACAGGGCCATCCATAGCTGTTCTTCCATCAGCCCTCAGAGCATCAAGCCCACTGTTCCAAGGTCCCTGTGCTTCCTCGTGCCTCATGTGGAAGGACTTAGGACTTTGTCCAGGAGGAAAACTAGGAAGGAGGTGGAAGGCCAGCACTGGGAGGTGGCAAGGACCTGAGGGAGAGAGGTGGCCAGGAAATTGGCCAGGAAAGGGTGCCCAGTTGGGTGGGGGGTGAAGTGGCCCCTTTGGTGTTCTAGGGATGAGGGTTTAATCCAACCCTCTGCCTCTGACCAGCCTCCTCTCCATTCACAGCGCTCACTGTCACCCAAATCCACATCCCCCCCACCATCCCCAGAGGTGAGTTTGCCCCAAACCTGAAACTTGCCCAGCCCTGCTCCAATGGGGCCCCCCGCTCCCCTTTCCCACCCATGTCCAGATGGAGCTCTGCAGAGCTCAGGGGATGACAGAATCAGCAGACCCCAGCCAGTCACGGGCCAGCAGTGTCCATCTGTCTGTCTGACCTAGGGCCTCGTTTAACCCTCTGTCTCTGAGCCAGGCACCATCAGTAGGATGAGACCTGGGATACCCTTTCTCTGCCACAACATTCCCCTGGGGTTGAGGGGATGCAGGCTGCCAGGGTGGGAGGTCAGAGAGGGGTGGCGTGAGGTGAAGCAGTGTGTGTGTGGGTTCGGGGGTACAGTGGGGCACCTGGGAGCCTAACACTTCTGCTCTGCAGGTGTGGACGGAGAGCAAGTCCCCTGGAATCATCTCTCAGGCTTCAGCCCTGAGAACCACCGGCACACCCCGGACCAGCCTGCCCCATTTCCACCATCCTGGTAGGTTTCACAGTCAGCGCAGCTCCGTCCTTCAGATCCCAGCTCAGTTTTTCCTTCAAGAACCCCAAACTCTTTCCTGTCATATCCCTACTCTTGGGGGTATATACTCACCACAGATCTAGCCAGACCTCATGATGTCAGGAACCCCCAGAGAGGGCGGGCCTGTTGCTTCTTCCCTCCCACCCAAGCAGAAAAGTGCAGCAAATCCCAGCCCCTCAAGGGAACTGGTGAATGTCCTCCTCCTCCCGTCCCCCCTCCGTTGGCACACCCTCTTCTCATCCGCTCTTGCTCCCCCTCACAGAGACCACCCGCCCAGATTCCAACATCTATAAGAAGCCACCCATCTATAAGCAGAGAGGTGAGGGAGTGCCCCACTTCTCAGCCTTCCTGCCTCATGCTGAGACGTTGTGCCATGTGCTGAGGGCTGGCGGGGAGGGTGATGGGAGAATAACTGTCATAACAGCACATGCTACGTGCCCTGTGCTCTCACAGGGGTGGAGGGGGAGAGGTGAGGGAGTTGGGGCCAAAGGGGAGCCAAGTTGGCCTCGGGGCAGGTGCCCATGGTCTGACTCCGGCCTCCGTCTGCAGAGTCCATGGGAGGCAGCCCCCAGAGCAAGCACCTCATCGAGGACCTCATCATTGAGTCGTCCAAGTTCCCCGCGGCCCAACCCCCGGACCCTAACCAGCCAGCCAAGATCGAAACGGACTACTGGCCCTGCCCCCCATCACTGGCCGTTGTGGGTAGGAGAACCGGGGAGACGGGGAAGGGGAGTCCAAGACACCTCCCTGCGCCTCCCTCTTGGCCCCTGTTGGAGCCCCATTTTGAAACCCACCTCCATCCCTACCCTGTCCCCTGTGGTGTCTTCAAAGGCTTTTTCCCATCTTCATGATCCCCCCACCCTCCAGGCCAGTTGCTCACCCATTCCCTGCACTCCCTATTTATCAGTGATTCCTTACTTTCCATTTCTTTATTTGATCACTCAATAGACATTTATTAAACTTTTACTGCATTCCGGGCTCTATGATAGGAGTTCTGAGAGAGAGAAAGATAAATAAGAGAAGGTCTTGGTCCCCAGCAAATTTAAGTTCAAGTGTGAGTGTGTGTGTGTATGTTTCCATGTATATTTCCTTCCTAGCTTCACGGAGAGGCAAGGAAACGTTACTCTTATTTTTAAGAAATAATTTGTAGTGTCCTCATCAAGGTCCGGCCCAAGTGCTGTGCCCAGAGCCAGCCCCTGCTAAATGGTTGTTGAGCAAATGGTTGATTGACAGCTGTGCCCACGTTTGCCTGTGTCTCCTAGAGACAGAATGGAGGAAGCGGAAGGCATCTCGGAGGGGCGTGGAGGAGGAGGAGGAGGAGGAGGAAGAAGATGACTCAGGAGAGGAGATGAAGGCTCTCAGGGAGCGTCAGAAAGAGGAACTCAGTAAGGTAGCATCTCGCTACACACACACACCCCCCGTGTCTTCCTGGGGGCAAAAGTTCTGGTTCCGTAACTGATCTAAAGGGGTTCATGCCAGAAAGGCATCCTTGTTAGAGCAGAGACATCCTCCTTCATTCCCACGATTCCAGGTTGCCAGTTTTGAAGGGACACTGGACTTTATACTGCTTTTGAGGGGATGCTACTTGATATTAGGGTCAAAAGTGCAGCAGAGAGTGGCCCCACCAGTGCAGGCTTCAGCAGAATGAGTAGTTGATGGGAAGAGAAAGGAGGAGAATGTGGCTGCTGGTTTCCAGGGGAGGAGAGAGTGCTGAGAGCCATGGGAAGACCAATGACAGTGACATGGGCCCATGCTCTGGGCAGGTGGCATGGGACAGGGAGGCTACTGGGGTGGAGCTCCATCAAGGAGCTCAGGCTCCACAAAGCATCTCCTTGCTGTCCAGGGTGTGGAACCCAGTGTGACTGTGCATCAGACAGGAGAGGAAAATGTCCCTGGTCCTGCCTGCCGATATCCAGCTCCGGCCCTTTGGAGATGATGGGCGAGTAGCTAAGTCTTGGCTCCATGTTCCTGTCTCCCTTCGCAGGTTACTTCCAACTTGGGAAAAATGATCTTGAAAGAAGAGATGGAAAAGTCGTTGCCCATCCGGAGAAAAACCCGTTCCCTGCCTGACCGGACACCCTTCCATACCTGTGAGTGCCTCGGAGGGGGCTCGGAACCACCAGGCTGTATTCGCCTGTGAGTTGTTGGACATAGAAGATAGGGTCCCCAGCCCAAGGTGCTCATGTTTTTCTTGGGGCAAGAATACCAGTCAAAGAACAAGATTAGCTGATAAAAAATAGTATCAGCTGTTCAAGTTCACTGCCTCTTTAAAAAAAAAAAAAAATATATATATATATATATATATATATAAACATCAACTGAAGCAGAATTAGTACATTTAGTTTAATTTAACAAACATGAACTGAAGGTCTACCACGAGCTAGGCACTGGGGATGTCAAGAGTGAGAACATACATTCCTGACCTCCAGTAGCTTGTGGCCAGTGGGGAAAACTGTCATGGACACCAGGTTTCAGGGCAGTGTGGCAGGTGTCGTGCAGTGTGCACTTCAGGAGAACAGTCACAGGGCCTAGGGGCTCAGCCAAGTCTTGAGGGATGAGACAAAGTGAGTGGGGGAGAAGGCCACCACAGACATCAGGAACAGTGTAGGAATGTAGGAACGAAGGCAGGGAATGTGAGCCATCCTGCTGGTTCAGAGACCTCCAGGAGCCTGGGATTACAAAGCAGAAGATTGCCCATGGAGTGGTGGGCAGGGAGGCCAGAGAGAGGGGTGAGCCCCAGCTGAACGCTGTGCCATGAATTCCCTAGAGCACGGTGCTGGAGAGGACAGGGAGAGATCTGAGAACCCCAAAATGGAATCTACAAGGCCTCTGAAAGCCTGGCCTTGGAAGCCACACATCATCACTTCTGTGGCATTCTATTGGCAACCTGGATCAAGGGGAGGGATGATAGACTCTGCCCTCCCCCCGCATTTCTTTTGTGCCTGGCCAGTAAGGGGATCTGAGTCCTTGACCCCGGTGTTATCAACACTACCTCCAACAAAGTGAGCAAACCAGCCAGGCATTTTTTTCTTTTTCTTTCTTTCTTTTTTTTTTTTTTTTTTATTTGACTCTGCCTCTCGAATGGAGGAACCTCACGGTCTCATTGCAAAAGGCATGCAGGATGGGAGGTGATGGCATGGCATGGGCCATCTTTGGAAACAGCCTACCACACTATCCAGTGTCTGGGTGAGAGCTGAAAACATACATGGGTCTAGAGAGAAGGGAAAGGATTTGAGAAACACATAGGGGATCAAATCCACTGGATTGGACATGGGGAGGGAGGGAGGGAGGAGTCGGGGTTTTTGTCTGGAGGGCTGGGTGATGACAGACTTGGAACTGAGATCATGAAAAAGGCAGAATTTCAGGGAAAGGGGAAGAGACTGGTTTTGGATGTGTTGGGTTTGAAGTGCCCCACGTGGCAGGAGCTGAGTTGAGCTAGTTGGAGGCTCTAGGGTCTTCAGCTTCTGTGTAGCAGTAAGATGAAGAAAGATGAGATTGTGCAGAGAGAAGGGAAGGGGAGGCCACCAGGGCTGTGTCCTGGGAACAGATCCATTAAAGATCCATCTGGAAAGCTGGTTTAGAGGAGCCCAGGAAGGAGACCAGGCCTCGGAGGCCAACTTGAAAGGCCTCATTCTCCAAGAGTTGGGGTCGCGGACCTGGGAGCAGACCACGTGACAAGTTGATGTTGCCTGCAGAGCGTAAGGGGGTGAGGCTGGGTGAGACTGGGGAAGGCTTGGAATAGCTAAGAGGGGAATGGGAAATGGGCAGGACTTCACCTGTGCGGTGATGCTGGTCTGCGTGCTGTGGATTTTATCTCCACGGCCTGGGACAGGAGGGGTTGGGATGATCCGGGGATAGCATTTTGTGAGGAAGGTGCTGAGGAACAGGGGCCAGGCTGTGCCACGGAGGTGCCGGTAAAGGTGGTTAATGTATCCAGCCACAGGGCTGAAGCTGCGTAGGTGTGGACAGAAGGCCAAGAGGGCTGTGAGAGGGGGTGAAGAAACTGGAGGACCCCATGAGATCGATGAGCCAGGGGGGAGGGGGGAGGCCGAGCAGGAGGCGGCTGTGGCCACTGAGTGGGATGTCCAGGCTCACAGTTTCCAGGTGGAGCAGTGTGGCTGATGCCAGATCTAGAGCGAGGCCCTTTGAAAGGGTCGTCTGATGTGGGGTGGAAGCCACTGGGACTGGGGGATCCCAGGAGCTGTGAGGTTAATGCGTGGCTAGGCTGTCCACAGCGTCCCAGGATGCTGTTTCAGTGTGGGCGGTCAGAGTCATGATCAACAGTGAAGGCCTGAAGCCCCAAAGGTTGGATTCGGTCTCAGTGTTCCACTGGAATCTGTTCAGCCAGAATTAGCTCTTTAACTTCTATTTTGGCCTCCTAAAGTTGAATAGCCAAATGCCTCCATTAACGTCATTTTTGGCATCCCTGAACTTGTATGTGATCAATGATCATGATTGCGTAGGTTACTGTCATAGCTAATCAGCCTTAACAGCTTCACTCTAATTTAATGGTAACATTGGAATAGTCGCTTTCAAACATAAATGAGCATTCTATAAGTAATTTGGACTGAAAAATCTTTATATGTGCTTCGAAGGTTGAAATTTTGTCAGTCGAAGTGTAAATGTATACTCATTATTATAAGAGTGGAATGTTTCCATAATGAATGGTGATTGTGAAAGCTAATAATTTTCCATATAAAAATAAGTGCTAGGAAGAGATAATGAGGTCCCCCAAGCCCATTTTTTTTCTGACCAATTGAACTTTTAAGCAACAGATATAGGAATGTTCTAAGAAGATAACCAAGGTCAGGGGTTCAGATCCCCGTACCTGCCAGCTGCCAAAAAAACAAAAAAAAGAAAGAAAAAGAAAAAGAAGATAGTTCTGTATAGTTTTGAATCTATGGAGGCTAAACATTTAAACAAAAGTGCTTGTCAAAATAGTTGCTATAGGGCTGGCCCAAAAAGAAAGAAAAAGAAAAAGAAGATAGTTCTGTATAGTTTTGAATCTATGGAGGCTAAACACTTAAACAAAAGTGCTTGTCAAAATAGTTGCTATAGGGCTGGCCCAGTGGCACACTGGAGAAGTGCGCCCCTTGGGAGTGCGGCGGCGCTCCCGCCGAGGGTTTGGATCCCATGTGGAGACCGGTTCCCGCTCACTGGCTGAGCGCGGTGCGGGTGCAACACCTAGGGTTGCGATCCCGTTGCCGGTCAGTAAAAAAAGACAAAAAGGAAAAAAAAATAGTTGCTATAGAATGCCAACCATTTCTAGTCATTGGAGATGAAGGCATTTTGAGATCTGCCCAAGCTAAGAATCTTAGGTACAAGGTTCTTTCTAGGAAGACACATTATCGAACACACATTTTCTTGAATTGTAACCTGCAGTGCTTGAAAAATTAGAGATCGTATTAAATGTGCACATTGAGAGTGACACAGGGATGCAGATGTGAAGTATATTGACGGCTGGTGCAACGTGGCAGCCAGTGATACCGAGGAAAGGACTGTTTCTGGAGTATAATGTCAAACGCTGAAAATTTCATTATTAACAATGTTAAAAAATTGTAATTCCATTATTTTGATTAGATTTTAGATTTATGTGTAGATCCCAAGGTTCATTTTATGATAGTGAGCCTCAGCTTCGGCTGACGATCAATTCTAACACTCAGACATTTGGCCCAGTTGCTTATTTAGTGCCTTACTAGTTAGAGAGAAGAGGGAAGGCGTTATAGACGGTTCAGAATCGCCAGCACTGTGTCACTTGCTGGCAACGGGCAGAAGCTGGAAGCCAGCGAAGCCCACCAGGGTCCCAGCTTCACCCTTCACTGCCCTGCCCTGGCAGGGGAAGGCCAGCGAGAGCGCCCTCTCAGGAAGGACTGTCGGGGCCAGAGGGACTGAACCTGGGGCCTCTTGCTCTCTTCCAGCCTTGCACACCGGAACGTCCAAGTCATCTTCTCTCCCTGCCTATGGCAGGACCACCCTGAGCCGGGTAAGGTCTCACGGCCGGAGATACAGACTCTGTGGGAGAGGAATGCTTGTTGGGGACTTCTGAGTGACTGAGCCACTTGGGCATCCTTGGGGAGTGGGGAGACCCTCAAAGTCAAGAGGACCAATGAGGACTATCCCCAGCTTCCTCTGATCCCTTTGTGTCCTGTCTAGCTACAGTCCACAGACTTCAGCCCATCGGGGAGTGAGACTGGGAGCCCAGGTGAGATGCAGAGACACAGAGCTGGGCAAGGGGCTTACACAGGCTCCCTGGGCGGCTGTGTCTGCGAGTGGGCAGGAGTGGTTGGGGAGGCTGAGCTGGGAGGCCTGGAGGACTGGCAACCCCGGAGCTGCCTCTCACAATGACTTTTCTCTCCCCCAGGTCTGCAGGTGAGTGGCTCCTGCAGGGGAACAGGTGGTGCACCAGCAGCCAGGGCCAGGCGACTAGAAGTGTGTGGGAAGGGGGGTGTGGGGCCATGGCGTCACTTGGCAGAGACTGAAGATGCGAGAAGCCTGGGGTAAGGCTGGGAAGGTCTCCCTGCTCCATTCTGGCTCACTGCGGCTTTGGTCTCCCCAGAACGGAGAGGGCCAGAGGGGGAGGATGGACCGGGGGACCTCCCTGCCCTGTGTGCTGGAGCAGAAGGTGAGGGGCAAGGGAACTCACCCCAGTGGGGGGGGTGGCGGCTGGGGAGAAGCCAGGCAAGTGGAATGCGCTACGGGGTCCTCCTAGAGCTGGTGACGGGAGGGACAGCAGGGATGGCAAGATGGCATGAACCCCAGCGGCCTCTGCATATGGATAAGGGGATAGGAAGTCGAGAGGTTATGTTGACAGGAAATTTGATGAGCCTAAGATTGCCCCTCCCCACCCCCTGCCCCCAGATCTATCCCTATGAAATGCTGGTGGTGACCAACAAGGGACGAACCAAGCTGCCTCCAGGTGTGGACCGGATGAGGCTTGAGGTATGCAGGGAAAATGCACCGCACGGGTGCAGGGCCGGCACAGGCATCCTCCCTACCCGGTGGAGAAGACCCAGGGCTTCTTTATTTGAGTGTCCCCTTCGTCACTCAGCACAGCCCCCACATGTACCTCCTTTCCCTAAGCTGCCTCTGTGTGTCCCCTTACAGAGGCATCTATCCGCCGAGGACTTCTCAAGGGTATTTGCCATGTCTCCAGAAGAGTTTAGCAAGCTGGCTCTTTGGAAGAGGAATGAACTGAAGAAGAAGGCCTCTCTTTTCTGATCGCCCCTGCCCGTGACTGCCCCCTCACCCTGCTGCTTCAGGGCTCTGGAGCTGGAGTCACAGACCCCAAAGCCTCCGCTTCCCCTGGCGGGCTGGGAGCGGTGGGAAGTGGGCCGGAAGTGGGGTGCGCTCGGATCCTCATGTGGAAGGGGAGCCAAGGTCTCTGCAGTCCGGTGGGGCAGAGACTTTCTTTCCATACTGGGCCTGGGGGCCTCCTTCTCTCATCCCTGGTCTTCACTGCACAGGGCAAACCCAGTCTGGACTCCAGCACACACAGAGTTAATGTTTGCACCCTCTTCCTGTCCCTCACCCCAATGGGAAGGTCCCCAGGAGAGGGTGAGGGGAAAGGGAGGGGACTGGCGGTCAGCCAGTCTGACCAGTCTGCTGTCTCCGAGGATGGGTGGAAGGAGGCTGGGGTGGGAAGCGCCAGGCAGGGAGAGCTCCAGGACCCTGTGCACACCCGAGCACTCCTCCTCTACCCGCTTCTGACAGCCTCTCTGCACCTAGGCCTTCTGCTTCAGGAGCAGGCTGCAGCTCGACCTTCAGCAGGGAGGTCACCTGCCCTCCAGCTTGCCCTGTCCTCTACTTGCGACCTGCAAGCTTCAAAGCCTCTTGCTCCAGCCCCGTGGCTTCCCCGGAAGCCTTGGCTTTGAGTGGAGATGCCGCCTATACAAAGCCCTAGCCAGCACCTGCCTCCAGGCAAAGCCAGCTGGAATTCTACCTTCTCGCACCAACCCAGGTACCGGGCAGAGCCCAGGCCTTCAGTGTCCCTTGGATGGGATCAAGAGGCCAGGCTTGGGACATTTCTGAGCGTCCCGGCTGACAGATCCCACCATCCCCATGCATCCCTCACTATGCTCTCTAAAGAATGTAATTTATTGGAGTGCCCCCAGCTGCTTTCCTCACCTCTCTGCCCTACCTTGATCACACTCCCAGCTTTACTCCTCTCTGAATACATATGTGTACATAATTACATATATATTTTTGCCAGGTCCGGGTTTTGTTTCTGCCCAGACCCTGGCACCCCTTTCCACTGTGTGTGTGATAATGCTGGGGGAGGTGGACTCTGCTTGGAATTAAAAGTTTGCATTGGGTCCCTAAATCTGTTTGTTCTTTATGAGCCACCAGACCTGGGTGAGAGGGACAGGTGCTGTCAGACTGAGGGGCAGCCATGGGAACGAGGGTTCCGATGGGGGCACATAGAGTTGTAGGACGTGGCACACACACTATTCTACCCCCGGCCCTGGGCCACAGAGCAGGGGCTAGTCTAGGCAGGGTCCCATCAGGTTCCTGTCCTTCAGCAGCTCTGTGATGGTGGCAGTAGGTCAGAAATCTTTGTGTTTGGGGGATGGTGGGAGCCTATACCTGAGATAGAGCCTGCTATGCAAGCCAGCGAGGAGGGGAGACCACCTCTGTCCTCCACCAAGTCCTGAAACGCTCACTTGGGCGGTCAAGCTCATCAATATCTGATGTGATCATGCCCCCCAGGGCCCAGGTGCTCCCAGTTCAATGAGGAGGCCAAACACACAGAAGAGGAGCATGCAGTGAGCTGATAGTCCAGGACCAGACAGGGGAAACTAAGGCATGGAGAAATGGCTGATGAAATATAGCAGGAGCAAGGGTCAAGTGGAGCCCAAGGGAGCACGGTGGTGATTTGGTCTTGGTAGAATTGGCAAGTCCTCTCAAGGGGAACAGACGTGGAACTGCATGTCTAAGGGTGGGGGTTGAGGGGTGCAGCTGTGATGGGAAGATCAGGAGGAGGACCGTGGGTGTGGGAGCTCATGGGGGGAGGGGCCGGCCTTACCTGGCTAGAACTGACCATGACTGCATACATGAAGAGGCCTGTGGTCAGAGGGACCCAGTGAGTTGGAGGGGTGCCCATGTTGTGAACCTAACATTGGAGCTGGGCCCTGACCCAAGTCCCTAGATGAGTTTCTAGCCCCTGTGGCTGAAACAAAAGCAAAATGGATGCAAATCACTGAAATGTGAACGATTATTTTAAGTTGTAGGAGTTCTGTTGCATCCACGACATTGTTTTATCCTGTCCACAAACCTGTGAAGTCAACAGATCATTTTAGTCCTTTTAGCAAATGAGAAAATTGTGGAAAAGAGATGTCATCTGAAGCCCAAGGGGAGGATGGAGACAAACACCTGAGCTTCCTGACTTCTAACCCAGACTTTCCCAACATCTACGGTTGTCTCTTTAGGGGAAGCAGAGGAGGGCGGACTAGGAAGTGCAGAGAGAGAGGAATGATCCCACTGTCAGACATTCAGTGAGTGTTTGGAGGCGGTCCCTGTTCTGGGCATGGGGATACAGTAGTAACAAGGCTGTCACGCCCATCTATATGGAACTCCCAGGCCATTGGGACCAATGTCAAGGTCACTGAGCTCGAGGGGTGCTGAAGGCAGCATCTGATCACTGTTAATTGGGAAATGTTTGTGGTAGAATGTACGGGCAGATTTGCAGCTAAATCCTAAAGGATTTTAAGTTCTTGAGAATTTAGGACGGCTCAAAATTTAGGGAGCTTTGTGTCTCTAAAGCAAAGTCTTAGGGAGACGCTCTCAGTACCTCCTATGCCCAACACAGACATGCAAAACCTGGGAGATTACCTAGTGCAGTGGTTTCTAACCTTTTTAGTAGCAAAACATTTTTTTAAATGTTTTAAAAATAGATCTTACTATTAGTAATTAGAATACACTTATAAGTTGAATTTTATAGTTACGAAATCAATAAGAATGAAAGCTTTTTGATGAATAAAGAATGTCTTAAGAGTTTTATATATATAGGGCCCGCCCGGTGGTGCACTGCTACAGTGCGCCGCTTGGGAGCGCGGTGGCGCTCCTGCCGAGGGTTCGGATCCCACATACAGGCCGGCCGCTCACTGGCTGAGCGAGGTGCGGGCGCAACCCCGAGGGTTGCGATCCCATTGCCGGTCCCGGCGGGCGCGACACTGAGGGTTGCGATCCGTTGCCAGTCACGAAAAAAGACAAAAGGGAAAAAAAAAAAAAAGATATATATATATTTGACAGTTGCACTTCTATCAAGCACTGTATTTATTACTGTATTTGGTTGCACAGTA